AGATTTACTTCCATAGTCCCGCCTCTGACGTCAGTTCTCTTTACACATCCATGGTGTTTTCTTGAAATACGACACCGGAAATCACACTGTACCGTAACATACTGAATGTTGCACTTGATAAAAGCAGCAGCAGCAGCTCACGCCAGGTGGAGGCTGAGAGTTTGTCTCCTCATGGATGACCTTCGGTTTGCAGTAATGAGGACACGCAGAGAGACCTGCAGCTGAAGAAGGAGCAGGAAGTCTCTGAGCTCAGTACAGATACAGCATGTTCTGATGCATAATCATCAGCTGCACACCCGAGACGCATGCACTGCCCCAGTTTACTGTTTCTGGTTCAATGACTGGGACTTTAAGAAGTTAACTATCTCAGTTTTATATACCAGATTTCATCAGGAGGATTATTACTTGCCTGCAAATGTGAATATTCTGAATATTTAATGTCTGAAAAATGGCCTTGGCTACCTTGAATCAGAATACTTAATTTGTCCTGGGGGAAATTGGGTAATGTGACACTTGCTCCACTTTAAAGTTTAAATAAAGATACAATACAAATATGTGTATAAACAAAATAAGTTAAATAGAGTAATAAAAAGATAAAATAAAAAAGTATTTATTTCAACGTAAAAGTAAGAAACAAAAGAAAGGTCCAATACAAGATTAAATAAAGTAAAGATATTTATAAAAACATAACAAATAACTTAAAAAAATGTGGAAATGATACTACAGGAAGGATAACAGCACATTGAAATGTTAAAACAATAATATAAGGTACTACACAAATACAAATATTTTGTTTTATAGCACAAGTAGTAAAGCTATCAAATCTACTGGAGAAAACATGTGTAAAGTACACAGGAAAAGTACAGTTGAGCATGTTTTAATATCGTGTCCATCAACCCAACAAAAAGCGTTAAAATAAATATGTTTCTTATATGACCTAAAACCCAAATTGCATCTGTTATTATCAACACAATGTTATATCACACCCTAGATCAGGGATGGGCAAATGGGGGCCCTCAGATTAATTTATAAACAACGTTATAAATTATAAAAAATTAAAAAATGTGTTTACATGTAGTACTGATACCGTCCACTAGACTCCTAGTTACGTCGCGAGCTGCGTACATGATTTCGTTCGGCAGCCAAATAGCGCAATTAATCTGACGCGTTTGTGTTTCTTGTGAGTGTTTCCCGGGGAAACACTCACAAGAAACACCGGCTGTTGTTATGCCTGCTGTGACGTTAAGTTGCCTCTTGTAATTATGCCTTTACAAGCTTAAAAGTTATATTTATCATCTGAATTTGGCGAAACAAGTTTAAAATTTGAAAACCAAGACTTTGTTTATTTGAAATCAGATGAAAACAAACTGTCACGGACCCTGGTGGCCAGTACAGTTCAAAGTCCTCCTGATGACTCACAAAGCCCTCAACAATCAGGCCCCCCCTACCTCACAGACCTGCTGCACCACCACGCCCCTTCCCGCTGCCTCCGCTCATCAGAAGCCAACCTCCTATCCATCCCCACCCACATCAATCACCGGACCTGGGGGGACAGAGCCTTCTCCGTCGCTGCCCCCTCCCTCTGGAACTCACTCCCACAACCCATCAGAGACTGCACTGACCTCACCACCTTCAAAAAACTCACAAAAACTCACCTCTTCAATCTCGCTTTTAATGTGTGATTGTTTTTGTATTATTTGACTTTAACTTTAACTATATATTTATTTGTTGTTCCTCTATTTTATTTTATCTTCACTATATCTGTAAAGCGTCTTTGAGCACCTGTAAAAGCGCTAACAAATTAAATATTTTATTATATTAGTACATCAATTACGTGACCACCAGCCAAGTTGCACATCCCTGCCCTAGATAATGTCTTAAAACATACAATTCCATGCAGGAGAAACATTAATAATAGTTTTTTATTTAACGTGTATGCCTGCATATACATAATGTCATAATTAAGTTTGTCATACCTCCCACACAGTCTTTAGTTCATCTAAAAACTGCAGAAATCATTAAGAATGCCTTGTTTACACGAGGACACATGAAGGTCAGTGGAATAAGCCTCTGCTGTGTGTGCACAGAATGAAAAGCTGAAGTCATCATGGCCGCCTCGACGTCTGATTTGAATTCTCATTTTAAACGTTTGAGTGAACTGTGGTGAAGTAATTCCACACATATCAGAGTCCACATTAAGCCATGTGCAGATTTACAATAATGAGTCATTTGTCTTCATGATTGATGGGAACAGTATTCCATTATAAGAGTAAATGTGTTCAGCGTGACCAAGCTAAACACCTTTTTAGACAGGAGAGAATTATAATTGATGGAATTAAATACTAAATAAATAAACCCATAAAGCATAATGTGGAAAAAAATCATAAAAATAGAAGATTTTAATAATGAGTCGAGGAATGAACGACTGAATAACTTTAAGGAGATTGTTTCTTAATATTACTGTAAACATATATGAACTATATAGATTGTTTAGGGTACTAAAAGAGATTATTCCCTTAAAGAAGGAACCCCCCTGTGTACCACTCAACATGGTACAATGTACAGGGTTCTTACGGTCATTAAAAACCTGGAAAAGTCATTGAAATTCTAAATGCAAATTCCAGGCCCTGGAAAAGCTATGGAAAATAATATTTTTCCCAAAGTTTTGGAAAAGTCATGGAAATGTAACTAAAGTTGCATCAAATATAATTTATATTTTAGCTAATCGCCGATAATGATAATACATACTATATAGTAATGAAACATGAGAGAGTAATTTTTTGGTCATGGAAAATTAGGTAAAGATCATGGACACTCCACCATCGTTCCTGTCCCCAAAAAAACAATAATCACCAGCCTCAATGACTACCGCCCAGTAGCACTCACCGCCATCATTATGAAGTGCTTTGAGTGGTTAGTCAAAACCTTCATCACCTCCTCCCTCCCTGACTCTCTGGACCCCCTGCAGTTTGCCTACAGAGCAAACAGGTCCACAGACGACACCATGGCCATCGCCATCCACACTGCCCTCTCACACCTGGACCAGAGGAACACATATGTGAGAATGCTGTTCATTGATTACAGTTCAGCATTCAATACCATTGTGCCCTCCAAGCTGGCCATCAAGCTCAGAGACCTCGGGCTCAACAGCGCCCTCTGTGACTGGATCCTGAACTTCCTGACGGGCAGACCCCAGGCAGTGCGGGTGGGAAACATCACATCCTCCACCCTGATTCTCAACACCGGAGCCCCTCAAGGCTGCGTGCTCAGACCTCTCCTCTACTCCCTGTTCACTCACGACTGCGTGGCCACACACAGCTCCAACACCATCGTGAAGTTTGCTGACGACACGACCGTCATCGGCCAGATCACAGACGGCGACGAGACGGCGTACAGAGAGGAGGTCGGAAAAGTGACATCTTGGTGCCAGCATAACAACCTCCATCTCAACGTCAGCAAAACAAAGGAGCTGATTGTGGATTACAGGAAGCAGCAGAGAGAGGGACACGCCCCCATCGCCATCAATGGGACTACGGTGGAGAGAGTCAGCAGCTTCAGGTTCCTTGGGGTCCACATCACTGAGGACCTGACATGGACTCTTCACACCACCACCATCACCAAGAAAGCTCCACAGCGGCTCTTCTTCCTCTGCAGGCTGAGGAGGTTCAACATGGACTCCAGGATACTCTGCACCTTCTACAGGTGCACCATAGAGAGTATCCTGACTGGCTGCATCACATTGTAAAATGTTACAATCTCTTGAGCTTGTGTTAACCACAGAACTTATTTCAGACCAACAACCAAAAAGATATTGAAAAAAACATTGACTTCCAGGCGAATAACAGGAAGTGCTAATATGCTGAGTGAATTCCAAGTTTAGGACTAAACCCTACACCTCTCTATACAGCTTGTACTTCAACCAGTAATACACATCTGTCATTGCTTCATGTCTCTGGAAATCATTTGTTCTTGTTCAAAGCAATATATCATGAGGGGTCTGTTCCCACTGTGCAGCTTTGATTTTACTGTGAGTACTGTATATACAGTAGCTCTACATCAGGGAGCTTTATATAGCAGCTCCTCTGAGTTAGCTGAGGTGAAAGACCCACTCTCTTCTCATCAAAGCCTCCTATAGTATAGCGGCTGAAAGCAGCTGCAGGGGGGAGGAAGTGATCGATTCTCTTTCAGCATATAGTTCAAATGTCTTTCTGTCATAAGAGAATACAAATGTTTATATCTTAAATGATCCCATCCGCAATCCTGTGTCCCGTTGTGATTACTCAAGCTTATTTTACTTCTATTTATTTGATTTTCCGCACTTTTTCTCCAGCGGTCATTAAATGCTGTTCAGTTTCTTTAAGCTATTAAAGGTCACAAGCCCTCAGTGCTTCTCTTGGTAACAGCCTTCTTACTAATTGAGAGCTATTCAAACTGGTGCACTGGATAAAGGTCAAATTGATTTCAGGCGGTGACAGTAGAATAAAAACGTGGAGAATGGAGACTATTAGTCATTTCATTATGCTGTACATCTGTATCTGTATTGTTGGACCCTAAGAACTAAACTTTTGCTGAAGGGGTTTCTCTGAGCCAGTTGATGCCCCACTGAGCTCGCACAGCAGAGAGCCAGAGAAGTTACCAAGTAAGGACTAGTCTTTAATTACAGCCCTGGTACATTTAAAATCAAACTTAAATGGCAATCTGAGACAGTAAACCTCTATCAAGGCAACTCAGGGGCTACAGACACTAAAAACATGCGTGTCTAGCACACAATTTAATATTAATTATAAATCAACGCAACTTAAAAGACCAAACTAATTTGGGCAGGGAACGCATTAATCATACTCGGACCAAAAGAAGAACGTTTCCCAGCAATAGTATGGTTTCTATGCAGTTTAGGACCTGAGGAAACTGGATGGCATGAGTGATATTTCTGAAATGAAATGGCATCAAATGATAAACGCTGTACGTCCACATGAAGTCGTTTGATTTTTCTCTTTTAGGAATACCAAATTGACATCATCTTCGCCCAGACGTGGACGGACAGCCGCCTCAGCTACAACAGCACCATGAAGAAATTGACTCTGAACAGCAACATGGTTGGAATGATTTGGCTTCCTGACACCATCTTCAGAAACTCCAAGACTGCAGACTCCCACTGGATCACAATGCCCAACCAGCTGCTCCGGATATGGAACGACGGGAAGATACTCTACACCTTGAGGTACATTTAACTTCTTAATTGTCTAACTTATTCCCGGTAAAGTGCTTCAGTGAAGAGTTTTCAATAAAAAGTGGAAGCTTTGGCGTAATTGATGTTCTGCAGACGTCACCTAATGAAATATAAGAATGTTAAATTCCACACAACTTATGCTGTTACTGACAGTTTGTACAGTTGAATACTCTGAGAAATATAAGTTACTATAGTTTAGGACATCGGGTTTGCCCTTCTTTAAAATGTATGGTATGTAGGTTCGACAGTAGTCAAATAGAGCTTTCCACTGTGCACTAACCATACCTCTGCACAACACAACTGATGGTCTCAAACACATTCAGAAGGCAATTCATTCCACAAATTGAGTCTTGACAAGGCACACGTGTTAATTGAAAACCATTCCAGGTAACGACCTCATGAAGCTGACTGAGAGAAGCCAAGAGTGTGCAAAGCTGTCATCAAGGCAAAAGGGGGCGACTTTGAAGAATATCAAATAAAGCTCATATTCTGGATATTTTTTACACTTTTTTGTTAACTAGATAATTCCATATGTGTTCTTTTATAGTTTTGATGTCTTCAGTATTAATCTACAAAGTACAAACAAATTAAATTAAACAAAAACCATTGAATGAGAAGGTGTGTCCAAACTTTTGACTGGTACTATATGTACAGTAAAGCGCTTTGAGGGGTCGAAGACCTGATAAAGCACTATATAAGTTCAGTCCATTTACTATTTGCAAAAACACTTACTTTAAATATTATTTTCATAGTTTTTACCATACAGTATGGTTTTGGCCTCACATCGTGTGGAGAAATGTTGGGATTCCTAAAGTCCTGGTCATTTACCTAAAGTCATATTTTTTTGTTTAATGTGAAATTGTGCAGCCCATTATCTCAAAGCTGTATCAACATTTTCAATATGGTTTATATAAAACCGCCCTAATTAGGGTCTGAGAACAGAGGTCGGCGAAGACCTCTGTTGTAATTGCAAAACACACATAAAACTGGTAAAACGGCAGGCAAAAGCACAGAAAAAGGGGCCAAAGCATGACGGCAGATAGCCCGCACACGTCACTACAACTCGCATATTTGATATCCATAGGATTATTATTAAGTGATTTAAAAACAAACATCCTGAATTTGACCAACACCCCAAAAGAAAATTAAAAGCTTTTCTTGAAGGGACCCCTTGCTAAGCTAACTTCCATAAAACCTACCATGTAAACCTACCCATGGGAATCAACACATTAGTTATATCGTCGCAGATATTGAAGAGATAAGAGATATTTGCACCATTTTAGGAAGCAAACATTCTCCAGTAAGAACATGAAAACATTTAAACACTGTCATTAGTGATGGTAAGTGCAAATTGGGTGCTTTAAACTCTACAACAACTTTACCCTCCTGCCCTGAAGCTCTCTTTGTAATTGGAGCACTTGGCATTATGTTAAACTGGTGCTTCAGTGACAACCATCTCCACAAGGCCCCTGATCTTCTTGGCATTGGTCTTATGTTGTGAGACATTTCCAGAATTGTGATCATGTTTAAAGACTTTTTTGTGGTATGGTAGCTCATATTGTACATATTGTACATGTGAAAGGTACATATATTTGCAGCACTTTTATCTTCTCGCATTAATTCATGTCTGTCTCTAAGTGTTATTTTACAGGCCAACATTTAGTCGTTTGTAATCCAACTCTGCGGTTATCATTTTTCGTTTTTATTAGACTTGGACAATCCATAAAAGAAAAGTTTTTTAAGATTTAGTCAGATTTCCATCTGCAGTCCAGCACTCCCTGTTGTGTCATCTAGTTTTCTGAATGTATTTTTGGTTGGTGACCGTGCTGAAGTTCCTTTATAGCCCATCATTAGATACCTTTAGCTTAGCGGTGGTTCTGTAGTTCCTTCATAGCCTAATGTTAGCTTTTTACTCCAAGAATCATAAAGTGGTGTAAATATATTGAGTCTGAGGTAAACAAATATATATTTTACTTTATTTATTAACTAATTCGGACCGGCAAAAGGCTCCATAGAACGTTGTGTTTGATGCAAGCTATATTCTTCCCCATGCAGCCTTATTGAGATGTATTAAGCCATTGCAAACTTTGCAGAGTAATATCCGTTGGTGGCATGAGAAAAGACAGTGAAATGTCATCTGGTATTAATTGTGTATTAGCTTTGGTCGCTGAAACAGTGATGACATGTTGTCATATCCCCGCCTCTCCCACATCAATCAATCAATGTTTATTTATACAGCCCAATATCACAAATGTTACATTTGTCACAGTGGACTTCACAGTTTGTACAGAATATCAGTATGAAAATACGACACCCTCTGTCCTTAGACCCTCTGTCCTTAGACCCTCACATCGTACAAGGAAAAACTTCCAGAGAAAACCCACAGTTTAAAGGGAAAAATGGGAGAAACCTCAGGGAGAGCAACAGAGGAGGGATCCCTCTCCCAGGACGGACAGAAGTGCAATAGATGCCGTGTGTAAATCGAAGAGATAATACATTTACAACATAGGTAGACCAAATGTTTGGAAATGCATGTGTCTATAATAAGAAGATGAAACCACGAGGATGTCAACAATCCTGTGGGAGCCATGCACTGCATTGTCCTGATTCCACGCTTTATTGATGTGCAAAGATGAATCTCTCATACTATTTCCTGCCTTGTGGACTATAGAAACTAATGTATATACTATGTGCTAATTACCTTGTACGTTTTCTCTTATTGGAATTGATCTCACACTATCTGTGGGGACAAAACCATTAAAGAGGACAAATTATGCTGATGTTCAGGTGTATATCAGTATGTAGTGTCTCTACATGTCTCCATGCTCTAATGTTCAAAAAGCTCTTTATTATTCTCATACTGCCTGTGCTGCAGCACCTCTTTTCCCCCTCTGTCTGAAACCAGAGCCCTGTCTGCTCTGATTGGTTAGCTGGCCGGCTCTGTTGTGATTGGTCAACCGTTTGGAGATGTCCCGCCCCTCAGCCCATCACGTACATTGTTTTGGAGCGCTAGCCAATAGCAGCAGGGGCCTTACATAATGATGTCACTATGTTCAGGAAGTAAACAAAGGAGTTCAATGGAGGCATTTCAGACCATTTACATGCATATAAACCTATACAACACGTACAGGAAAGGGAACACACCAAAAAAGCATGATAGGGCCCCTTTAAAGGAAAGATTTAACCCCTCTTTAACCAGAAAGAGGTTAACAACATTTTTATGCTGATTGTATTCTTGGTCAGGTGGGTTGTACAGGAAACACAAACTCTTGATTCTAGTCTAGGCTTATGGGACATTTGGCCTTTAGCTACATCACACACACATTTCCTGAATCTGCACAGGATAATTGCTGTGGGCTGTTTTCTAAGAAGCTTGTTATTTCATCCTCATTGTGCAGGTCTAATAGTAGCAGAGCAGTGAAAAGTGTGTGTGTGTGTGTGTGTGTGTGTGGTGTGTGTGTGTGATGTGTGTGTGTGTGTGTGTGTGTGTGTGTGTGTGTGTGTGTGTGTGTGTGTGATGTGTGTGTGTGTGTGTGTGTGTGTGTGTGATGTGTGTGTGTGTGTGTGTGGTGTGTGTGTGTGTGTGTGTGTGTGGTGTGTGTGTGTGTGTGTGTGTGTGTGTGTGTGTGTGTGTGTGTGTGTGTGTGTGTGTGTGTGTGTGTGTGTGTGTGTGTGTGTGTGTGTGTGTGTGATTGTGTGTGTGTGGTGTGTGTGTGTGTGTGTGTGTGTGTGTGTGTGTGGTGGTGTGTGTGTGGTGTTGTGTGTGTGTGTGTGTGTGTGTGTGTGTGTGTGGCCGCTGACATACTGCAATTACAGGATTACGTAATCAGGATTTAATTTGTTTTATTGTATTCTTTACTAGAAGGATTTTACTAAATCATTTATTTAAAAAAATTGAGAACATGTAGACTAATTTTCTTGAAATAGCTATTTTTAAAACTATAATAAACCTAACAAATACAATTATAAGTTTAAAAGAAATTATAGAAAAAAACCAAGTAGAAAATAAATACTACACATACTTATATACAGTAATACTACAATACAAATGACTCCTATATTTTTCTCTGTAATCTGATTAGAGACGTTCCACCCCTTATCACTTACAATGTGTTGGTGCGCAAGCCAATAGGAGCGCGAGTGTTACAAAGTGATGTCACTATGAAACAGAAGTAAACAAAGAAGTCCAATGGAGGTGTTTGTTTGTGAGTGTGTGGAGGGAACACAGGGATTTTAGCCTTTGCAGACCATTTACATGCACTAAAACCTATAGAACACACTACAGGAAAGGGAAAACCCCCAAAAAGCATAATAGGGCCCCTTTAATTTCCAGAAAGTTGAGAACATGGTTGAATCACCAGCTGCAGATAGCAAAACGGTAGTTATATAACAATTGTTCCATTTCTGTGAAATTGAAAGACACACTGTCTTGGGAGTCAGTAACAGGAAATGATAAGACAACTTAAAACTAAATTACGTATTCTGGTTTTCCTTGAAATTAAAACACGTCGATCTCAGAGCCTCCTGTCTCCAGTCTCTTTCTTCAAGTTATTTAGAATTGTTATAGTTATTTGTTTATATTCCCTCTGGGCGACAAAAATAACTAGACATTAAAAACTGATTGTGATTTTTCTTTCAGGCTGACGATAAACGCAGAGTGTCAGCTGCAGCTTCACAACTTCCCGATGGACGAGCACTCCTGTCCGCTCGTCTTCTCCAGCTGTGAGTATGCCTCGCTCAATTTAGTTCCAAGCAAAAACTACCATATTTATTTTTAGTGTCTTATGCATCAAAATACCACATTTTCCCCGGTATTTATCATTTGCTTATTTTGGTTTTATTTATTTAGCTGATGTTGGTGTATATCAAATGTGGGTACAGATCCTGCTGGTGTGACAGAAGTAGCCTGCTAAGTATATATATAATGTGTCTATATATATACGTATATATTTATAATTTTGCTTATTCCTGCATCTTACTGTACCTGCACCATTATGTCTTTGGCTCTATTTTATTTATGAGCCTGAGACTTATTCTGCTGCACTTTTATTTAATTTGAACATGTTTTGTCTTGTTCTCGAGTGAGGGAACAATGGAGCGTGAGATGGGCCGGAGAATCGGAGCAGCGGGAGCGGTACTGCAGTCGCTTTACCGCACCGTTGTGACGAAAAGGGAGCTGAGCCAGAAGGCAAAGCTCTCTGTCTACCGGGCCATTTTCGTTCCTACCCTCACCTATGGTCATGAAGGATGGGTCATGACCGAAAAGAACGAGATCGCGGATACAAGCGGCCGAGATGGGTTTTCTCCGCAGAGTGGCTGGTGTCCTCCCTTAGGGATAAGGTGAGAAGTTCGGTCATCAGGGAGGGACTCGGAGTTGAGCCGCTCCTCCTTCGCGTCGAAAGGAGCCAGTTGAGGTGGTTCGGGCACCTAGTTAGGATGCCACCTGGGCGCCTCCCTAGGGAGGTGTTCCAGGCACGTCCAGCTGGGAAGAGACCAAGGGGTAGACCTAGGACCAGGTGGAGGGATTATATCTCTTCGCTGGCCTGGGAGCGCCTTGGGATCCCCCAGTCAGAGCTGGTTGATGTCGCCAGGGAAAAGAAAGTTTGGGGCTCTCTGCTGGAACTGCTACCCCCGCGACCCGACCACGGATAAGCGGGAGAAGATGGATGGATGGATGTTTTATCTTATTCTATTCTATAAATGTGTATTGCTTTGCTTATTTATGCATCTTAATGCAACATTATGTCTCTTGCATTATTTAATTTATTTTAATGCCTTAGGTATACTGTATGTTGCTTTGTTGGAGTTGCCTGGGACTTATTCAACTGTACATTATTTCATTTTGTCCCACAGTTTTTAAATTATTCTATTCATCATTTTGTTTTTTTATTATTCCTTCATTATTGGGGACTAATTTCCCCTGCATGTCATCTTTCGCCCTCTGACGCAGATGCCCAGCCTTGAGCAGCCGTTATCTCCCATAAGGAGGGGCTGCCCGCAAGTTGTTGTAGTTACCAGTTTATGACCGGGCCACTCTCGTGTTATGACACATCCTTCTCGGGGTGTAGATGACAACAAATGTGATTCAGTGTCCCTCAGCTATTTAGTCTATCTATTGAACAATGTTGATTATTCTCTCAGAACTAGCTAAATACATGGGTCTGGGGTAGGGTTGCACGATTTTGGGAAAAAATCTAATTGTGATTTTTCTGATTTTTTAGCGACCCAATGGAAGTTTATTGTAAAATGCGGCCAGAACTCCGGCTAGGAAGGTCGTATCAACATGCTCCCGTCTCTAGCGCCCCCGCAGCCCGAGCTACGAGTGAAAGAACTAAACTTACATGAAACTTCCGTTGGGTTGCTTTAAAGTCAAGCTTCAGTTTAAGAGTCACCCTGTAATAGAAACATGTGATGGAGCATTACTAACCTGACCCAGATGCTTTGTTTCACCAAACCATCTAGGAGAGCTCCATTGGAAGCCATTTGGAAAGGGCAGGCACTTTCAAAAAGACTTGGCAGGTGATTGGATCAATCTGTCTATCACCTTCTATCATGGGCCACTTCTGATTGGTTAACAATGGCTGGTACATGTGGAGCACAGCACTTCTGATTGGTGTGGATGACTGACACACAAGAAGAACAAACAAAACAAGAAAATGTTAAAAAAAATTGCAGGCTTTGCGATTTGATAATCGCATCATTTCAGATTTCGATTTTAAATCGATTAATCGTTCAGCCCTATAGTCTGGGGTAGAGTTCTTCAGAATTTATTGTGGCCTCTCAACCATATGGTCAAACCGTGGCCCGTGACATGTCTTGTGAATTCCCCGGCCGAAGCTCCAAATAAACCGTCAGTGTTTGCCATCAAAGCTCCAGCTCTCCTCGTGTCTCTCTGAGTCCTTGCTTCAGAAGTTTCCCCCACATTTATCTTACTTGTACCCTTCTGTCTCTTGCAATATTGTATTTCCTTTTAGGTCTTGAGTATAGTGTGTTGTATTGTTGGAGGAGCCTGGGCTGGTACCCCAGATTTTCATGGCCAAAGAAACCAACTCCGTACGTATTGAGCATATGAGAATAAAGCTTTTGAATGGTAGTGCATGTGCTGTGGTAGTGAGTAGTGGCCTTGCAGCGATCCTTTATTAGGATTACAGGAAGGCTTCATAGTGAAAGACCTTGTGCAGCTTATCAGAGCTTAAGGCTCGCTGCAGCGCCTCTTCTGTGTGGACACTTCACGCTGAGATCCATTAAATCCATTTCCTTACCTGAGGACATCCTAGGCATTAAGCCCGTTTCCATGCCGACGTCTCTGTTTTTCTGATTAAGTCAGATGTGCTTGTCTTTAGAGCCATCACGCCTCTGGGATTGAAATAATTAACAGAGTACTAAGCAAGTATCACACAGTTTACCTCAGCACCTCTGAGCGTTTTGGCGGCTTTTATTGTTCTCCAACACTTTCATATACATTGTTCAGATAAATGTTGGTAAAAGTAGACTTTAGCAACCTAAAAGTATGTCTGGACTATATGTTCAAAAACCAATATATCTTTTGACATTGATCACTGTTTAAAATGATCCTGATATTTATATAACTTTTTCGTTTTTTAAGCCATATGCTCACTTGAATGGGGAAAAAGTAATTAAATAGTGCAGTTCTTCTACACTTTCAAAAAGTTGAATTGAATTATCTTAAAGAGGACGTATTCTGCTCATTTTCAGGTTCATATGTGTATGTTGTGCCTCTACTGTGACATGTCTCCATGCTTCAATGTTCAAAAAGCTCTTTACTTTTCTAATACTGCCTGTGCTGCAGCACCTCTTTTCACCCTCTGTCTGAAACCAGAGCCCTGTCTGCTCTGATTGGTTAGCTGGCCGGCTCTGTTGTGATTGGTCAACTGCTTAGAGATGTCCCGCCCCTTAGCCTATCACGTATGTGTTGGAGCGCTAGCCAATAGGAGCGTGTTACATAGTGATATCAATATGTTCTGGAAGTAAACTAAGGAATCCAATGGGGGCGTTTCAGGCATGATGGGTGAGAGAGTGGGAGAGAAATGTCTCTGTAGGAAACACAGGGATTTTAGCCTTTGTCAGACCATTTACATGCACAAAAACCTATATAATGCACAACAGGAAAGGGAAAGCCCCAAAAAGCAGAATATAACGCTTTTAAGCTGATTCTCAGACATCGACAACAAAATGTTTTATTTGGTAAGTGTTCCTTCAAGTGCATTGTTGTGCAGCAAAAGTTTGACCAGTTTTCTACTATTTAAAAAAAAATTATAAAATAGGCCACTGTTAGAAAAATATCACTCGTCACCAGCTTGATCTTCAATCTCAGGATCCATGTATTTGTTATCCTCTCCAGAATGGAAGTAGTCATCACATACAGAGCATCAACTAGTTCCTGAGCAGTGTCCTTCACATGCTGATATCCAAGAGAGGGAGTTACACAGTCACAAGATGGAGGAATAGAAAGAAAGCAGTATTCAATGTTTACTTCAGATTAGCTCCATGTCAGAAATGATCATGCTTGTCTATGTCTATCTCCATAGAGGCTGAATCATCATGTTAATCACAGAGCTATCATATGCCTCAGTCCGGATGCTCTTCTAGGTAATCATACATCCTGCCAAGTACACAGCTACAGTAGGGCCTTTGTTATCTTGTGCTACTCTGACATTGGAAGAGTACATTCAATATTTTCCCAACGACAGTGTGGCAATTTTAGCTGAAAAATCCAATAAAAAAAGGATTGTCAGGATCTCACAAAAGTGCAGGAAATAAGACGCCACTCCAGTAACCTGGAAATGAAATAATCATGAGATATGAGTCATCAGAAGCAGCTTAATGTTACTGAGAAATATCGGAGGAGAAAAATGCAGATCTGCGGAAACCATGGAAGATATGATATAAGTCGTTTTTTCAGACGAATATTTTCATTTTATAATACAGATATTTTAAGTACATATTTTCGCCAGATTACATTTCATTTGAGCAACTATTAATTTCTACCTGTCATCTGGTATGGTTTGATGTCGAGTCTCAACTTCAAATTGTCTCCAAGGAAAGATACTATCATTTGAATAAGGTATTATAAATATTGTTCATTTATAAATGCACCGCGAATTGTGATTGAACCAATAACTAGTGTTTTTTTTAAATACAGATTTCCTACAGTATAGTGTTACCATTCATTCAAGATTTCATGAGTTTTCCAACATTAAGCTTTTACTGAGAATTTGTGTAATATCTGTATTCTAATGGCATTTTATAGAAAATCAGAGTTGTGTCAAATGTTAATTGAATTTATTCACCATATATGTTTGAAAACAATTAGTAATTTGGGTAAAATTCCCTCCATCTAATCTTCTCGTGAATTAAATACCTATTACATCAAATTGTATTTTCTACTGAATACAATGATGTGTCTGTTGAAGAAGATCCAGGCCAAACACCAAAGCAGAAATCGATGTATCACCCGTCATTAACCTCATATGATTGATTGTAAAAACACACCTCGTCTTTGTGAGTCAGGCGACGTCGGGATGGATTCAGCGCATCATCGAACCAAAGCCTTGTTTTAATCTACCTTTCTGTCCTTATGCACACAGTCTTTCATTAGCAGCTCAAGACTAATGTTGCTCCGCTGGCTGTAGGTGTGTCTGAACGGGAAGTCCATCATTAGGATGAATCGCAGAGGGTCAAACACTCATGCTCTGTGTTGCAGATGGATACCCTCGAGATGAAATTATCTACAAGTGGAGGAAGAACTCTGTGGAGGCGACGGACCAGAAGTCCTGGCGGCTCTACCAGTTTGACTTCATGGGCCTGAGGAACACCACGGACATAATACAGACGACAGCAGGTAGGGAGTGGATCTCATCATGGAAATACCTTCACTCATTCATTCTGCAACAAGTCACACCAACTGCAACCTCAGCCTTATCTTTCTGGGGTCAAGCATTGTTATTGCAGGTGTTCTAGTTTAGCCAGATGTTTTCCAGGCCAACACTTCTTTGTTGATACTCATTGTTCTGAATAGCAACTTGAGTGCAATAATTAGAGCTGAGAAACAACAAGTGACCAGTTTTCTAACTTTAAAGGTCTCCTATTATACTGTTTTTCATCAATATATTATAGCTCTCAGATATACAAAACATGTCTCTGAAGTGTTTGTCTCCAAACGTCTGTCCGTCCTGGGAGAGGGATCCCTCCTCTGTTGCTCTCCCTGAGGTTTCTCCCATTTTTTCCCCTCAAACTGTGGGTTTTTCTCTGGAAGTTTGGAATAATTTGTGACAAAACCGTTCTAAACACTCAGTCCTTTAGCTCACCTGAGCCCCTCAGTCTGTGACAGGGGAGGACTCTCCTCCAGTTTGTTGTGGAAACAGCTACTTAGGCGTGTGGCGCAGTGGATAGAGCGTTGGTGTTCGGATCAGGGGGTCACAGCCAGGTTCAAACCCCACTGCAGTCAGCCTGTCGTTGTGTCCCTGGGCAAGACACTTCACCCCAAATTGCTCCTGTGTGGATTGTCCACAGTATTGAGTATGTAAGTCGCTTTGGATAAAAGCGTCTAACAAGTAACATGTAATAATAATAATTATTATGTCCGTTAGTGCAGCTAGCTAACCAGATGCTAACATCACGGTCCCCGCTAGCACTTTCTCCCTCTCTCTCCCTCCCTCCCTCCCTCTCTCCCTCACACTAGGGGTGGGCGGATCGATCCCAAAATATCGATACCTCCGATATTACGTTACGTTTCAAAATATCGATACTAGAGCCAATAGGATCGATACTGTTATACTTTTTTTCTCGTCTCCTCTACTCGTCAATTTCTTCAAAAAACTATGTGCATACGAACACAAGTATATGCTCTTTTCTTCTCTCTCCACTGCTGTCCTCTTCTCCTCGAGGCTCCCTGCCTGAACGCCGATTATCAAGCTGACTGACAGCAGCCAGCAGGGCAGGACAGCAGCAGCCAGCGACTCGCGAGTGCAACACACACGCGCATGATGGCTGAGAGAAAGAGCAGCGTTGTGTGGAGCAATTTCACAACTGGCAATTAAAACTTAGCGAACTGTGATGTGTGCAAGAAGACAGTTCGCTACTTTGGCCACTTTGTATTGTTATTTTTCATGTTTGCACTTTAAATTTGCAAAAGTAAAACGTGTATTTGTCTATAAAAACTGTCCTGTCTTTATTCATGAAAATGAATTCAGATTTAGTCGATTTATGATGATTTCAGCTCAAAAATCATGTCATGCAGCTCTCCCCTATATGAAAGTACATAAGACGCTTTTCATTAAAAAAAAGTATCGATATCGATATCGGTATCGGCGATACTGGCCCTGAAATACTTGGTATCGGATCGAATCCAGATTTTGTGGTATCGCCCACCTCTACCTCACACTAAATGCGCTATTGCCACACACACACACACACAGAGCCGAGCTTGAATGACACAAGCACACGTGTATTTCCATGCAACTCTCTGATTGGTCTGGTGACTTGCCTCTGTTGCATTCACTGAACACGGGAAATTGCAGTCCTGCCGTCCTCTCTTGTGTCATGATGAGGTTCACGTAAAGCACGGTTAATGTATTATATTATTGAGGTGTCTCAAATATACGTCAATCAAGTGGCACCTGCTAACGGGGTGGTGGATGATAGGTGTACATCTAAAAACGTATTTTTCAAACATTATTATTTTTATTTTATTTTTCTTTCTTTGATACTTTTTTTTTTAACGATCCGCGATCTACCCGCACCACACACCACACTCGACTGGTTGGCGACCACTGCTTTAGCAAGTAGGATAGCTGCCAGAAGTTATCGTTTGGCTCAGGGGACGCGGATCAGTGAAACTTCCTAGACTCGTGCGGACTCAGAGCCGTAACCGCAAAAAGAGATCCAGAGATCCAGCAGACTCGTCGTCATGCATGAGTCAACAGCAGACTCAGATTCGCCAAATCGCAAAATAACCCTTTTTATTGGTGATCAAAAATGTTTATTAAAGCAAAAGACACTGTTTAGCGGAGGTTAATGTAACGTTAGTTTAATATGCTCATGAAGTGCAACAACTTTTCGGTTTCACCGGTAGGAAATTTCTACGCTCTTGGTGATGCTGACTCATATGACTCAAAGGACTCCTATGATCCGGATCTCTTCAATGACTGACTCAGAAGACCATGGTTGCGTTCCGATAATCCAAAAATCAGCTCCTAAATTCTAACCCTATCTCCTATTCCTTGACCTCTGAGTGAAACGTCACGGGGTTAAGGGATAGTGGATAGGAGAATTCAAAAGGATTTAGGAGAAGAGACCGCGGTACTTTAGAGAATCCGAATGCACTTTCACTATCCGAGGTGTTTATGATGCGCCAGCGGACGTCATGAATGTGCGTCTGCTGCTGTGGGGAAACTATGGAAACTACAGTTTTCTATACAGCGGACTACAACATGGATGTATAATAAGAACGAGGGACTACTGTAAACTCATCTAGAGACTCTGCACCGTGCTCTGATGCTGTTGCTTTATGCTTTATGAACGTGGACAAAGAGAAACATATTCTTCATGACCAAAGTTGGAATTGAAATAAAAAAGGAAAGTGAAACTTATGCTCGTCACCCTCTCCCTCCGGTCCACATTAATACAAATGATCCCAATACGTATGATTGTATGAACTATGAACATATCTTAAAATCAATACAAATATATTTATTATAAACGTTAGTCCTTAACATCTATCACTGTGTATATCACCATTCAAACATCTTTTAAAAGTTGAACAAACCCCACACAGCTCAGTAAAGACTGTGAAATGTTGACTTTATTTGATCATTTCAGTAAAAACTAACGCTCATATTTCTCTTTTTGATTATAATACTGATGAACGTTCAGAACAAAGCACTTTGGCAACTTACCACATACGTTTTAAAAAGCTTAATAAGCACCGTAACTTTCATGATATAATTTCTCGGTCATAATCGGTTGTTTCCGTGAACGGCCGACTGTTGAGTGACGGCAAATGCTGCGGCTGCAATGCATTGTGGGGCAGCATTTTCTCCTCTCCTTTCGGTTAGGGAGGTCCAGTGGTTCCTAAGCTAAAGGAGGTTATAAAGGAAGTTTGAAACCTCCTTTCCTTTCATTTGGAGAATTGGAACGGCACTTATCATGGCTGCCACTGAGGGACTTCCGGGTCATTTCACTTCGTTAGGAAGGTTCCTAAGCTAAATGGACTATTGGAATGCAACCCCTGAGTCCGTAAAAGGATCCAAATTTGCCATCTCTAGTCAGAACTGCACCCCTGTCAGACAAGACATATACCACGTGATGACACGTTAGGCTCGTGTTATGTTCAAGGACCCTGACCTGGCCCGGAAAAACAGGCACTCGCTTGTTTAATTATTTTGCGGTCTAGATTTCTTTAATTTGTTTATTTTTAGCGAGTGTTTATATTAGGAGAAGAGAAGAGTATTAGCGAAATGTACCTAAAGCATCCCAATGTAAATAAAATGCACAGTGTTTTGATTTGTTATTACAAATGTATAAACAGATTACTACAGTATTTAGGCTGTTGGAGGTAGATCTAATTTTTTCTATTTTATGCAGGGTGATTATCTAAAAAAAATGTTAAATCAATTTGCTGATTATTTTTTCAAATATGGATTTATGTGTACCATACCATCGTACTAACAACAGAGCATATTATAACACATAGACTGTTTTATAAGAAGTGGATTTAGTAGCTGTGACATATACACACATTTCCAGACACAGGTACAGAATTGATTGGGTAGAAGAAATGACAAAAATAACTCAAACAAATTTTAATTAAGGACTTCTGAAGTTCCTGCATGTAATAAGACAAGAGTGAAAGGCAAGGCAAGTTTTTTTTATTTGAAAGAAAGTGCAAGTTATAATAGTTAATATATATTTTAATAAAGACTTTAAAGCAGGGGTGGGGAACTTCCGGCCCCCGGGCCATATACGGCCCGCGAGGCCATTTGGTACGGCCCTCGAGTTAATTTATATTCAGATCCTAAAACATTCAGATGTCAGCCTTAGCTCTTATTTTTAAAACCGCATCAGTAGACTGTGTGTCCCAGTGACGTCACTCCAGGTGTGTGTCAGTTAAGTTTCTGAGCAATAGAGCGGTGCAGGGATGACGTATTGTTGTAGGCCGACCCGGAAGTAAAGAGCGCATGGGTTCCCTCAACAAAAAAGCAATGGGATCTCTCCATAGGATTTTGGAATATTTTAAAAAATAAGGTCTGTGGAAAACGAAGCTGTTTGATAAGTACACGTTTTGTTCAGCCAGATAATCTCCACATGTCTACCCTACTTTTATAATTTTTGAATCATAAATCTAATCGCCAGAAGCAAAATGCTAACGTTATGCTATAAACAAACTACATGTACAGCAGGGTCGCACGACTTCAACGTCACAGCAATTAAGATCCATTGTCAAAAATACAGATTCTAAATGGTACAAGTTGAAGCGTTTGTTTTAACAGTTTGCAGGAGGCAGGTTCTTGCTTTCAAACAGAACAGGGCAAACAAACTTAGAGGAGTGTTTACGTGTTCGGCGTAAAGACGTACAACGGCCTGGACAACTTCTGTAGTCCTATTCAGCCACTTGGTAACAACCATCGTTTTTCAGAGTAAACTCTTCAGAAATCCCCAGTGGGGTCACTACTGATGGATTTAATGTCGTAGAACAAAACGTGATCCGTCTCTTAAATGTGTCTCAACCACAGACCTTATTTCCAGATATTTTCCAAAACCCTATGGAGAAATCCCGTTGACTCTGAGACGAGGGAACAGGAAGTGGTAAAATGCTAACTCACTTCCGGGTTCAACTACTCTAGTTGTGTTGTTTTCTCACACAGGTGACTACGTGCTGATGACCGTTTACTTTGACCTGAGCAGAAGGATGGGATACTTCACCATCCAGACCTACATCCCCTGCATCCTCACCGTGGTCCTGTCCTGGGTCTCCTTCTGGATCAAGAAGGACGCCACTCCGGCCAGAACCGCTTTAGGTACCGCTTTCTCTTTCTGCAGATACTGTGGTGTCTTCTGAGGCCAAATACATGTATAAAATATAAATGTATCTTTTTAGATTAGCTTTTTATTAGCAACCCCCCACTTTAAATGTTCTTTTAGTCTTTATTATTTACCTACCTTTTATATTGTTTTATTGATTTTATAGGTCTTAAAGGATTTTTTTCTTATTTTATTAATCTAACATATTAATCTTTTTTATTTCTTAATCGTTTCACCTTTATTAGAAATATGGCATTTTTATTACTATTATCTTTTAATTTGTATTTCTGTTGTACCTATATGTTCACTTTGTTTTATGGGATTTTATATTGTTGCATCGACTCAGTTGTCTTGTGTCTTATCTGTCATTATTTATTTTATTTTATTTGTATTATCATACCTTTTACCTCCTTGTGTCTATTAACCTGAACATTTCTTATATTTTGCTGCGTACTTTAAAAGTTCCTAACAAATAATCTATGGGGAATTTCTTGTTTGTTTTTAACTTGTGATGTGTCATTTAGTAAAGCACTTTGAGCTGCATGTGTTGTAGGAAAAGTGCTATATAAATAAAGCTTTATTATTATTATAAAGGTCTTGAAATCTTAAGAAAGAGACTGGAGACAGGGGGTGTTTCTCAATCTCGAGTATGCTTGCTTGGTAGCACATGTCTTCTGAGTCACTTGCTTTAGAAGCGAGGCAAGAATAATTCCTGGCATTCGGAAAGCGAAGAGTGGAACAGGCGAGCAGGTGTGCGTCATATGAGAGGCCCCGCCTTACATTTTCCACCACAGATTTGGGGAAATTGGTCGGTGCGCAAAGCATTGTGGGGATTTTAAGACCGCGGAGTCTACACATGTGCAGCCTCGAAATCTCTCGCTACGAAGTACGCCGGGCTTGGTAGAATTCCAAGTATGCTGGACATTGGAACAGTCCTTCGGCGGCACAGTGTGCTTGAAATAGTGACTCTGGAGCAGCTTTACTCGACATTGAGAAACACCCAGGATCATCTGAGATGGACGTGTTTTAATTGCAAGGAAAACCAGCATTTTGTCATTTTGCAAAGTCTTTAGTAGTCACAGATATTACATGACTTAACTTCCTGTTATAGGCAGTGTCTACTCACTTAAACGCTGGTTATATAACTGTACTGTTTTGCTTTCTGCAGCTGGTGTTTCTACCATGTTCTCGAACTTCCTTGAAATCAAGCAATCGTTTCAAATTACACAACTGTGAACTAGCTGAAGTTCACAGAGACTTAGATATATGTGTTTACTCATTATAGTCTGGCAGTGGCTCAGTCAGTAGGGGCTTGGACTGGGAGCTGTAGGGTTGCCGGTTCCAGTCCCCAACCAGACCTAAAATATGGAGTGTGGACTGCTACTTGGAGAGGTCCCAGTTCACCTCCTGCCCTGCCGTGTTGCCCTTGAGCAAGGCATCGGACACCCCCCTTCCCCCCCACTCCCAATTCTCCCGGGCGCTGTACAATAGCTGCCCACTGCTCCTAGTACTAGACTCCTGGTACTAGGATGGGTTAAAGCAGAGAACACATGTGCTCTGCATGTGGGACCATTAAAGAGGGTTTCATCCTTCCCAATTCTAGTAAATTCTAAAGTCCATCCACACTTTAGCTCTATGTCTGAAACTATGCTTTAAACTTCAGCTAATAAAAATAAAAGAAAGTACAGATGCAGACTTCATGTCAAGGCTTTTCTCATCAGGTTTCCATTTGCACTCTTTAATCATGTTTTGCTTTGAATATGCTTCTATCTTTATCGTTTATCTACATCAGTGGTGGAAAAAGTTCTGAACAGTGTACAAATACTCTGTTAAAGTAAAAGTATGCCTTTTGATAATCTTAGTTCAGTAAAAGTACAACAGTATTAGTATTTCAGTTTTAAAACTAGGTCTGCAGAATGACCACTTTAACAATAATATAATACGTATTATATCACTGGTTTACAGTTATTAACCAATAACTGTTCATTAGTATATATTATATTGTTAATCATTATTTAAATTTAGCAGTAAGTAAGGGCAAAGCTTATTTCAACCATTTTTACTACCAGGGATCTTGATGTATAATTGTTCATCATTATCTACTTGTTGATATATATTTGTATTAATTATATGTACCTGCAATGTAACTAATGTAGTGGAGTACATGTATAAAGTAGCGTAAAAGGTACATTTTCAAGTACAAGTATCACAAAATTCAACTAAGGTACTGTACTGAGTATATGTACTTAGTTATTTCCCTGATCCACGCTGCATGAATCTTTTGTTTGTCATTTAATTAGAGTCACTCCATCTTGTTTAATTTGTCTCTTTTGTGCATGCTCTCTGTTGTGCAGTCCTGTGGATCGCTCTTGTAAAGGTAATTTATTTAATTGTGTTTGGTTATTTTCCTCAGATTTAAAAAAATATATATTTTTCACATGTTTAAGTCAGCTTGTGTTTGCCCAGGCCTTTTAGACTGAAGTTACTAAGTAAATAAGTGTGCCTCTTGTATGTGTAAATGAAAATGAGCTGCTTTTACAAATGAAAATGACATTTATTTTGTCCTGAATAATTGGCATCAATGTGCGATTTCTTCTTGGCTCTTAGAAGCATGTAATATGTTTACTAAGTGCTACACTTTTAATGTTTATTTTATTAGCTTTTCTTTTTAATGACTGATTTGAAATGCCATTTTCTTAATCTCTTTCATTTTTTGTAAAGCACTTTGAATTGCCTTGTGTTGAAAAGTGCTATATAAATAAACTTGCCAGGGATTCTATCCTTTGCAGACCATTTACATGCGCAAAAACCTATACAAGACACTACAGAATAGGGCCCTTTTAGCTTCTTATGTGTATATAAATATTGTTATTTTAGTTTATTTAGCTGCTGTAGTTCTCAGGTTTGAGTACTTATTAACCACTACTCACAGTAGTTAAGAAGTTGTCAATCACTTGCTGTGTTTAAAAGTGTTAATGTATGTTGTGACCTTCAACCATTCATTCGTATGCATTACATACTAAACATCACAATGTCCTCTACATTACGCTGTAGGTAAATGTAAGTGCCTTTCTGTTAACTTATGAAAGGTGAGCTGCGGCTGGAGGAACAGTGAGAGCGTCTGCCTGAAATAGCTTGTTGCCATGGGAAACAGGATGAGACGATCACAGATGTTTGTGTTTTTTGATAGACATCTCTCCAATGCTGAACAAAAATAATCATACAGAGACGCTGCAGGTAGGAGGTGTTTCTCCTGTCTGTCAATCTGAATGCACAAACAAAATCTGCTGTGAGAGAAAAAAGATGTTAGCTTCTCACTTAGCATCTCTTTGCTAACATAAAGACAAGGTTACTCGTACGATGAAATATTATGGAGATGTTGGATTTGAAATTTGAAATCACTTTAGACAACCCCATAATGATTTTGTTGTTAATGAGTATTGTATAGCCCTACAGTATATGTTATTATAATACTCATATTCAGGACAATATTCATTACAGGTGTCCTATGTGGAGTTTTTACTGGCTTTTTGGACATTTCAGATGATTCCAATACTGAGAGCACGCTGCAATGTGATGCATTCTATATAATAAATATTAAGCAATCAATCTGTATTTTTCATATACTAAAGGTAACGGAATCAGATCCAAAACAAATCGCATACATATATATAGAAAAATACCCCCAAAATAAGAACTTAATAGACAAGGTACTGTATAAAACAAGATTCAATTAAATATCAAATAGAGCTCAACGAATGTGGCAAAGTGTTCTCTGTACTAAAATAACTTTTCTCAATGTAAAACCTCTTTAGCTTTTACAGTGTAACTTTAAAATCACTGTTAAAAGATTTTCAGTTGGTCAGCTTTCTCTTCTTTTAGACATGTACTATGCTCTTGAATAAAAGAGATCATGAAGGATCTTCAGACAAACACTGCAGGATTTGAAGATGATTTTATATAATTAGATTTTATTCATAATCCAGCATTCACTCGAGCTTTTTCAGTAAAATGACGGTCGGAATTAAATACAGCTCAGTTTCACAAAACGGTTCAGGTTAAAACTCCGTATTATTCCCTGGCAGCATGTCCTAAAGGTCTCCTATTATACTGTTTTTCATCAATATATTATAGGTCTCAGATATATACAAAACATTTCTCTGAAGTGTTTGGGTCCAAACACCAAACAGATCATTGCAGCATTACCCATAATCCCCTCTGTTTCAGCCCCGTTTCCAAAGTGCTGATTCTCTGTCTGTTACTTTAGATCAGTGGTTCTCAAACTTTTTCTGTCGGGCCAGAGATTTATTTTGGGGGTGCTGTGGGGTAGCTTGACGTTTCATAGAGGGTGCTCAAACATTTAGGGTTTCCCATTAATGTACCGGTCGCTACAGAGGAATGTTCTACTGCAACACTCCCCACGCATATACACAATGTACCCGCGACTGTTACAATGAAGGCTCGATAATCAGCTCACGGCATATAGCTGTAAGCAGGGGTAAAGTGCTATTTTTATAGGTGGTGTGTGGACCTCACATACTGTAGGGGGGTCCGGGGGCAAGCTCCCCCGGGAAGATTTATTTTTAAATATTGAAGTTAAAAGCATCAATCTGGTGCACTTTGAGAGCAAAATGAAGAGATCTTTGGATACATCTCTCAACACAGAACTGTAAACAGATTTACTATTTCTTTATGGATATTTTACAAATCACCCTTTTAAACTTTATACATTTTTTAATGTCATATAGTATTTCATACCTGTTTTTAATGTATTCTCTTATTTTTTTATAACTATAATGATCATATAAACGTGTGCCTCGGAAATAATTGTTTACATTAATGGTGACCAAAACATTTGAGACCCACTGAGATAACACTGAGAGTCCTTTAGCTCACTGAGCCTCTCAGTCTGACAGGAGAGGACTCTCCTCCACTTTGTTGTTGAAAAAACTCCTTATATCCGTTAGCGTAGCTCGCTAGCACCAGAAGCTAACATCAACGATCTCCGGTACCGGTGCGCTCTCTCTCTCTCTCTCTCTCTCTCGCTCGCTCGCGCACACACACACACAGAGCCGAGCTTTAATGAAACACAGAGACCCAGACGTAATAGTACTGTACTGCATCATATTATTTTCGAATCAATAATTTTTCAAAATATGATTTATTTATTTTTTTGTAATCTTTTTATTTTCCTCCTGGTCTCTCGCGCCCCCCCCTGTCATGCGTCTGCGCCCCCCTGGGGGGGCGCGCCCCCCACTTTGAGAACCACTGCTTTAGATGAAAGTAAGGAGCCCCTCCCCACGCCCCTCTGAGAGAGATGTGGTTAAAAAGAACACAATGGTGCTCTAGGAGGAGATTCAGGTGATAAGGTGTGGGGGGGGGGGTTACCTTGGTTGCTGATTGGCTAATGGTTGCACAAGCCAAAAAATCATGACATCATAAAGTGGCCAAAATCTGATCAGCTCATTTTCAGACAGGTTTTTATAGAAATGGATCAGAACAAAAAACTTTCAGAGTCTCTTTCCACAGAGGGGACACATGTTGATGTAGAAGAGACATGAAGAAGAGGGGACACATGTTGATGAATACAAGACATCAACAAATGCATTTTGCATGATAGGTCTCCTTTTAAGAAGAGTGTTTCCTCCTGTGCAGGAATAACCACGGTGCTGACGATGACCACCCTCAGCAGCATGGCCAGGGTGTCCCTCCCCAGAGTTTCCTACATCACCGCCATGGACCTCTTCGTCACCGTCTGCTTCCTGTTCGTCTTCGCCGCGCTGATGGAGTATGCGACGCTGAATTACTATTCGAACAGCGTTAAGAAACCACGCTGCAGGGAACCTAGAAGAACAGTGAGTTGGACTACAATTAGCAATTTGTTTATTTACGGTAAATGTAATATTCTTGATAAATGCCTTTTAAATCCCATTATAGAGGACCCATAATTCAATTTGCTTTGTTGGAGTATAACTAACAGTGTTATGGCAGCGACTTAACAGCATTGCAACTAACCATTTGTCTTCAAATCACGTTTTTTTATATAGCCCAATGTCACAAAAACACATCTCAGTGTGCGTTACAGATCAACAAACACGAATGACCGTATAAAAGAAAAAATTAAAAGATAAATATAGGATGCAAAATGTAATGGAATAAAATTAAATACAGTAAAAATGCAAAAAAAGTCAAATGCCATCAAATGTAGTAACCAGCTCTAACTATAGGCTTTATTAATACTGGGATGAATCTAGTTTGTTTAACATATACCTTACAAGAAAAAGGAATAGTCAAATATATGATCAAAGCACCCTAAAATTATGACAGATATGCCAGCTAAAAGTTTACAATAAATTAAGTTTATTACAGGTCATACATAAGTCAAAAAATAAAAGAACTCACTGTAAAAAAAATGTATTTAACTAAAATATAATGTATTTTTGTTATGGCACAAACATGTTTCAGTGTCAGTATTTAATGACACATTAAAATGGCAAAAAAAACGCTTGCAAACATGTGGGTATTTTATAACCAGGCAAGTTACTTCAAGTTATAGTTAAACTATTAGTTTATTTACATCCATCCATCTTCTACCGCTTATCTGAGTGTACATGTCATTTCTATCATCCTGTAAAGTAAACCATCTTGACATGATCCTGAGTATCAGTATTAGCAAGGAATTATTCAAAAATAATTAAGTATTTACGTAAATATAACATAGGAATTATAGCAACAAATAAATAAACGGGTTACAACATTACAAAGTATTTTTGAAAAATGTGCATTCAGTCTTTAAAGGTCACCTGTTATGCAAAATCCTCTTCTTCATGTCTCTTCTTCATCAACATGTGTCCCCTCTTCTTCATGTCTCTTCTACATCAACATGTGTCCCCTCTTCTTCATGTCTCTTCTACATCAGCATGTGTCCCCTCTTCTTCATGTCTCTTCTACATCAACATGTGTCCCCTCTTCTCCATGTCTCTTCTACATCAACATGTGTCCCCTCTTCTCCATGTCTCTTCTACATCAACATGTGTCCCCTCTTCTTCATGTCTCTTCTACATCAACATGTGTCCCCTCTTCTTCATGTCTCTTCTACATCAACATGTGTCCCCTCTTCTTCATGTCTCTTCTACATCAACATGTGTCCCCTCTTCTCCATGTCTCTTCTACATCAACATGTGTCCCCTCTTCTTCATGTCTCTTCTACATCAACATGTGTCCCCTCTTCTTCATGTCTCTTCTACATCAACATGTGTCCCCTCTTCTTCATGTCTCTTCTACATCAACATGTGTCCCCTCTTCTTCATGTCTCTTCTACATCAACATGTGTCCCCTCTTCTTCATGTCTCTTCTACATCAGCATGTGTCCCCTCTTCTTCATGTCTCTTCTACATCAACATGTGTCCCCTCTTCTTCATGTCTCTTCTACATCAACATGTGTCCCCTCTTCTTCATGTCTCTTCTACATCAGCATGTGTCCCCTCTTCTTCATGTCTCTTCTACATCAGCATGTGTCCCCTCTTCTTCATGTCTCTTCTACATCAACATGTGTCCCCTCTTCTTCATGTCTCTTCTACATCAACATGTGTCCCCTCTTCTTCATGTCTCTTCTACATCAACATGTGTCCCTCTTCTTCATGTCTCTTCTACATCAGCATGTGTCCCCTCTTCTTCATGTCTCTTCTACATCAACATGTGTCCCCTCTTCTTCATGTCTCTCTACATCAGCATGTGTCCCCTCTTCTTCATGTCTCTTCTACATCAACATGTGTCCCCTCTTCTTCATGTCTCTTCTACATCAGCATGTGTCCCCTCTTCTTCATGTCTCTTCTACATCAACATGTGTCCCCTCTTCTTCATGTCTCTTCTACATCAGCATGTGTCCCCTCTTCTTCATGTCTTTTCTACATCAACATGTGTCCCCTCTTCTTCATGTCTCTTCTACATCAACATGTGTCCCCTCTGTGGAAAGAGACTCTGAAAGTTTCAGGAACTAAGATTCTCTCTCTTTTTGTCCTGATCCATTTCTATAAAAACCTGTCTGAAAATGAGCTGATCATTACTTGTTTTCCACCATCATTTGCAAATAAATTCTTTAAAAATCAGACAATGGGATTTTCTGGGTTTTTTTTTCTCATTTTGTCTCTCATAGTTGAGGTATACCTAGGATGAAAATTACAGGCCTCTCATCTTTTTAAGTGGGAGAACTTGCACAATTGGTGGCTGACTAAATACTTTTTTGCCCCACTATATATAAAAACCTGTCTGAAAATGAGCTGATCAGATTTTGGCCACTTAATGATGTCACAATGTTTTTTTGGCTTGTGTAACCATTAGCCAATCAGCAACCAAGGTAACCCCTCCCCCCCTTATCACCTGAATCTCCTCCTAGAGCACCTTTGTGTTCTTTGTAACCAAATGTCTCTCAGAGGGGCGTGGGGAGGGGCTCCTTATTTTCATCTAAAGTAACAGACAGAGAATCAGCACTTTGGAAACAGGGCTGAAACAGAGGGGATTATGGGTAATGCTGCAATGATCTGTTTGGTGTTTGGAGCCAAACACTTCAGAGACATGTTTTGTATATATCTGAGACCTGTAATATATTGATGAAAAACAGTATAATAGGGGAACATTAATTCAAACTGAAGTAGCTTCATCAAGTCTGAGAAAGTCTCCCCTTTTTCTCAGAACTACTCGGTGCTGGATGTGAGACCGCCACACACCGTCATCGCGTTAAACAACTCCCTGTACTGGCAGGAGTTCGAGGACGCTTGTGTCTACGAGTGTCTGGACGGGAAAGACTGCCAGAGCTTCTTCTGCTGCCTGGAGGAGTGTAAAGAAGGAGGGTGGAGGAGAGGACGCATCCACATAGATCTACTCGAACTGGACGCATACTCACGTGTCTTTTTTCCCACCTCCTTCTTGCTGTTCAACATCGTTTACTGGGTTGGCTATCTCTACCTTTAGCCCACAGCGGGGTCACAACACAAGGAGTTCAACGCAGGAGATTCAAGGTTAATAAAAAGGTAACATCAAATAAGTGCTACCTGAAGCAGCTACCTGGAGATAAAAGATAACGTGTGCGTCTTCAGGCCAGAGCCTCGCAGTGATTTCTGACTTCAGGTGCGATAATACAGCACATTACTGAATCCATTCAATATGCAGAACACAGACGGAGAACAGGATGGACTGTGCGAATGTGAAGAAAAATAAGCTACTCCAAACTTCTCAATCAGGATGATGACTCGTCTTGTAGGGAACGTTATTATCCAGCCATCAGTCAAACCCAGTTGATGAAAATCCAAGGACGTTCAGACCATTCGTAGTGCCTTCCTCCGGAGGGGTAGATACTATCTGCTACAATAATCAGGGAGTAATGATTTATAATAAAAAAATAGAAGAGCCTGGCTTTGACTGATTATGGCTGTCCTCATTCAGAGTACATTTATAAAACAGCCGTTTGTATAAGAACCACATCTCTTCATACTGACTCATTCCTCCTCACTATCAGAGCCCCATACACTATAACAAATACATTGGTTCCCAGGGAAGAGAGCCATTAAGATAACACTTACAGCAGGAAGAAACATGAAACGTGTTTTATTGGCATCATTCTTATGTTAGAGGATAGGAGGTTATTTTATCAATGAGTTAAATGAGTCAAAAAACTCTCCATGTTGTCCTTTGTTGCCTTTCTTCATGAGGAAATTGATACAAACTCTCATGTCTCTATGCTTAACATCAAGCTAGTCAGCAGCCTGTAGCTTAGCTAACGCAAAGACTGAAAACAGGCTAACAGCTAGCCCGGGTCTGTCTGAAGGAAACACATTTGCATTACAATGTTCCCCTGGATTTATATGAAGGGGTTTATGTTTTTATGAACCCCACAGCTTCCGGTCTTCCAAGACCCGAGCGGGCAAAAAGACGTGGTGCAGGCACGAAACTACCAATATAAAAACATTGCTTTTAAAATCGTTCTGTGTGACACGAAAAAAAGGGGCAAATCGTGTTGGTGAACACGAATCAATAGATTAAATGTCGTGACTATAACACGAAATGCCGTGAGACTGGGTTGGATATGTGTGTGATCCAAACAGCTCTCTGAAGATTATAGGCTATAAAGTGTTAGCTTTGGACAGAGCCAGGCTTACTGTTGGCCCGTTTCCCCTATTTATGCTAATATAAGCTAACTGACTCCTAGCAATAGCTCCATATTCTGCAAGAGTGGTATCAATTATCTCATGATTGTCAGCAAAAAGTGAGCAAGCTATTTTCCCAAAATATTATACTATTCCTTAAAATAATTGTATTCTAATGAGTGGTTTTGTTGATGGATTTTAGCTGTAAATTGGCCTGTATTTCTTCGCATTATGCTGAGGAGGTTTCGAAGGTTGTACAAATAACAAGGCAGTTTCTCATGAAAACTGCTTTCTCACAGATCAGAGCCCTCTGAGATTAAGCTCCCAGGAAACAAAGACAGCCACACGATAATCCAGGAGTTACTTTCTAGATGTTACACATATTCTCACCATGTATTAGTTGTTGCTTAGCAGCTTCTTCTCACCAGAGCTCTTAACACACTTAAGATAAAGAGAAAGGTAAATCTTTGTGTTTTTCTTTCAGTTAAACTCACAACGACCTCTTCACCTATCACTGGTTGTTAATGGGATGGCCAAATTAAAAGTAATACGTCTCATTTGTACATTACTGCAGGCACAAATATAATAATCTCACTCATCAGTCTTTTATTTGCATGCAATATAGAGTAAAACATCAAGATAATACGTTCTGGGATATAATTATAGTTTTAATAACAACTGTTTGTATTATCATCTGATTTCCTTGTGTTTAGACGTGGCATTAGTTACCGTTGAATTGCCTTAGTGTAGCCCGCCCAGACCTGAGATTAAATACATATTTACCTCTGATTATAACCTCTGCTTTGCCTTGGGCAGTGGAACTTTTTATACCCCCTTTTTTTTGTTGCTGTTTTTCTTTATATTATCTTTGCTATGTATGTGCCAAATATTTTACAAATGTGCCCAGTTTTTTGAGTTCAGCCAAGTTTGAATATAGAATACATAGTGTGAATATATAGTATAGTCGGGAGGTAAATCCTTAAAGGGAGACACTTCAGCAGAAGCCGATACCATGATATTTCAGTAGGTAATTACTTACATAAGGACAATTATTGTGTAGTATTACAAGTTTTCTGAAATGTCATGTTTAAATATGCAAATGAGACATTTAAAAACTATATATTTATGTGCTAACTTGCATAAATTTCCAGAACACAAATATGAATATTGGATAAAGCCAGGTTCAACATTATTGTTTCATTTTCTTGCCATATTACAGTCAATGTTTTTTCTGTTTATCTCTTTGAATCACTGTGTAAATCAGAAAACTGAATTCCTCCATGTTTTTAGTAATAATATTAAAACAATCTTTGAATGAGTTTTAAAATCTGAGAAAAGGAAGAGAAAAAAACTAGTATGGAGAAATGGATTTCAAAAATGTGTTCTGTAAAATGTTATACACACTGAAATGTAACTAAATGACATTTCCCAAGTTCATTACTTTTATGTTTAAATGTGAAAACGAGACATTATCTAATGCTATCTTTTGGTGAACATAGTAGAAATCAGACACAAATAATCAAAGTCAGTTAAGTAAACTACCAAATGTGGATTATGGATGTTTTCTAGGCCAAAAATAATGGTTTGCCTGAAGTGTCTCGCTTTAAAGAGTAATATATATGAAGCTGGCTTTTGAGAATTTAGCCAGGGTTGACGCTGTATTGATGCTGTTGTTTTTCAGCACTGGTGTAAAGTCCTGCCTACTGTGCCTGCAGACAAACCTGTTCATCACGTCTCCTAAAAAACACTGAGCAGCTCTTCTGAATGTCTTTTCAGTTATTTTCTTTGGCAATGTATTCAATTTTATAAGTAATCGTACTTTGTAACAACAACAAAAATCCTGTGTGGCATGTTTTTGGCTACAACGTAAAAAAAAGATTGTTTTACATCCAATTATGATCATTGTTGATTGATTAATTACTCTGTGGAGCCCAGATGTTATGCTGACAGATGAAGGGCGATGCAATAAAGTTATTCTGAGTGGTGCTATACTTTACAATAACTAGTGTACCATGTTAGGATTGAAGCTCGAAGAACACACTCTTTTTCGGGACATGTTACCTTCATAGGACTGAGAGAGGGAAGGTATGTGACAGAGATCCCAATTAACAATACTTTCAAAAGGCCCTGACTGTTCAAATCTGTCAAATAAACTCCTTCTTTCAGTCTGTATCATCACGCAATAGTGTCTGAATATACACAGCAAATTCTTATATCATTGTAGTAATACTTTTCTTCAGTAAAGGCTTTACATACCGGGGGCATGGCAAATAAACAACATCATCACTTTTCCAAAAGGCAGTGATGCAACACATGTTCAATAACGACCAACAACTATCCCAGAGCAGCGTCTGTCAGTGAATTGTCTAAATTACTGAAAGCTAATTTATTCGGTGAATTTGAGTTTTCCTCTTGTTAACAGTTGCAGCATTTATGTCGAGGGCTTAAAGGCTTTTATTGTGTAAGGTAAGAGAGGAAGGAAAGGATCTGGTATGCGGAATCTTTGTCAAGGTTGATACAAATATGTGTACTATTTATTTTATGATGTCGTACCAAGTCTACCACAATAGTTAGATCATTTTGATGTGCCTTCATTTAGTAATTTTTTGTATTGCAACCCGGATACAAATCGTTTAAAAGCTTCTGATTTACGTGTTTTTGTTCTAGTTGTTTGATCATTTCCAACCTGGTAAGATCATTTAGCATTTCCCATGTTGCAATACTGCTCTCGACTATGTAGTCTCTATTTTGTTGGACAATAAAGCGTTCTCTTGTTTTTTTCGCTGTGTAATATTTGCGTTTTGTGAAAGTACTTGAGACAAAAAGAATATTTCCATTAAATATTTGTAGTCGCCCCCCCCAGTGTGTAAAGCCTTTAAAACTGAAATGTATAAAGTCAAGAGTTATTCTGGCTCCAGCTAGTCCTTAAATGTTCATTATATCACATTTTGTGTAACATCTTAATTTACACCATGAAAGTAAAGGGATTTACATTAGACAAAAAATAATTTGTTGGTTATGGTATCATGGTTAAAATATGAACTGTACTGTGTATTGGAGTTGGTGTGCAGGTGTTGATTTCGACTTACAGGGTTAACACAGAACATTCACAAATCCCCATGATGCTTTAATTACCAGAACAACATGAACTCAAGGTGCCTTTAAACTGACAGATTTTCATTTGCAGTCCTCACCGCTCCCTTCTCTGCATCATATTTACTGTTGTTTTGGCACCTATGTTTTTTCAAATGGACAGCCCACATTTTCCAGTATTATCTCTGCAGACTCTGGGAAAGCAAAAGGGAGTAAACACTGGGAGGGATTTATGATTTGATCTCAGGCCAGTATGGGCATGTGGGTCTCCAGACTGGCATCTGAGGGACGGACATTTAGACATGAAACTGATCTGTTCTATGTAAATCCCTTGCAAGGAAAGTTGTGCACTTTTGTGAGTATTAATGTGGTTTTGGTGACATAAAGTACAATAAACCCAGTGCAAACACTGCATTGATTCTAAGCCACATTCAGTGTTGTGATGAATAAGCCAAAGACATTTCTGTTTCAGATTCATCTCTAATAGATTGAATCATGTTGGAGGAAATTGTTGTGTGTTGGGTAACGGCTCCATGTATTCAGTGCAGTACTGTGAAGTGTGATTTGAATGGAAACTATAAACGTAACAAATAATAAGCCTAGAAGTGCTCTAAAATGGTTTATGTCTTTTGCCAAGTCATCCACTCAAGTATAGAGTGGTGCAGTCATGATGTATTATAGTAGGAACTACAGTATGGTCACATGACTTCACGTCTATCGCTTAGCTAAAGGCGGCTAATGTTGGGCTATAAAGTAACTACAACACGGTCACATGACTTCACGTCACCACCGCTAAGCCAAAATCGGCTAATGTTGGGCTATAAATGTATAGCCCAACATTAGCCGATTTTAGCTTAGCGGTGGGAACTACAACACGGTCACATGACTTCACGTCACCACCGCTAAGCTAAAGTCCGCTAATGTTGGGCTATAATTTAAGGAACTACAACAAGGTCAGGACTTCACGTCACCACCGCTAAGCTAAAGTTGTCTAATGTTGGGCTATAAAGTAACTACAACAAGGTCACATGACTTCACGTCACCACCACCGCTAAGCTAAAGTTGTCTAATGTTGGGCTATAAAGTAACTACAACAAGGTCACATGACTTCACGTCACCACCGCTAAGCTAAAGGCGGCTAATGTTAGGCATGATGATGTTAAAATCTCTTCAGCTTGTGTGAGCCACAGACCTTATTTCAGGATAACAACCAAAAACACATTCAGAAAACCATTGACTTCCAGACAAGGGAACAGGAAGTGCTAACATGCTGACTCACTAACGGGATTATTAGGACTCATCCCTGCACCATTCTATATTATGTGTGGCTGAAATATTTCTAACAGTTACCGTATGTGCTGATGAGGTTTCACTGTTTAGCCAAACCCTGTGCTATCTGCAGTGTATTTCAGCCGTTGTGCATCATATATCTGTTGACATGTATGTATCTAACTTATTGTATAGGCTACCCAACAATACGCAACTGAACACTCCTTCTGCCTTGTGTTTTCATATGTGTGGCTTCAGTGTCCATATATATCCCATTGCTCAAGGACATCCTATGAGTGGGGGGTTTCATCTGTTTTCTCTTTTGTCCTTTACCATCCATTTCTGATGCCCATGCTATTTTCATACCTATGATACTTTGGAATAAAGTTTCTTTTTCATAAATGTACTTCAGCGCAGTGCACTACAAATGTCTTTTTTTTTATGCATTTCAATTGAAGCAAGTTTTAAAGTAGGACTAAATGGGTTTTATACAAAAAATCCCCAATGGCGGAATACTATCAGAGGTACTGCTTATTTCAGTGCCTCTCTTCAACCTTCTCCTTTTCTTGTCCGACCCTAGAGACTATTGTATGAGAGGTTTTCAATGTCAATTATTTTGAGGAAACGTATACTGTAGTGTGCAAGCGGTGGTGGACTGAGTCATTAAATCAGGCCGGGAGATTGATATACATTTTGCCACTATGTGTATCTGGGAGAAAAGTCACCCTGCTTACTTAATACAAACATTTGGGACTAAAGAACAAGTAGTAATCTTATTTCTTACAGTATTACAATATAGGCTACACACAGGTCTTCAAATGTCCAAAATGCAATTACCATTTCCTTGTAATCCTGCTGAAGAAAAGGGAAAATCAACACGATATATTGACACTGATGCAACTCATTCCTATTAACTATTTTACCGCTGGTCATTGGCGAAACTGAATAGGCCAAAAAAAGACATTCTGGGCAATGGAAATGTCCACAAGAGCAAAAATATGTCAATTTAAATACAAGCTTTTAAATGACTTATTTAAAACACGTACAAATGTACCTACATCCTTTTTTGGATTCATTTTCAAACAACCTTGTGTAGCTATGATACTTGGATGGGGGTACATGTCCATAAGTCCATCAGTTCTATGAGTTTTCTACTTTTTATAAATATAAATTCATGACAGTAATGGTTTAAGCCCAGTGACCCGGAGTCTGTCTACAAATTCAATTATATATGAAATCCAATAAGGCCTTTCCTGAAGGAGGATGTAACAATTGAATGCCCATGGTTGCTTTTACCTATAAATAAATAATGTAATATTGCCAAAGGGCAGGGGCTAAATATAAGCATTTGCATTAACCATGGTAGTCTGTTTTCTGCACACAAAACACACAGTAAGATCACTTTCATGAACACCAAATATTACTGAAAGGGCAGAAAAGCTCAATTTCTAATCCCAAATTCTAATGAATATTGCCCAAATTGAGGTCAATGGGTTAGGAGTGGAGCAAAGGTTTCTGGGAAGAAGCATGGCGACAGGTAAGCTGTAAAATTCCAGCAAGAAAGAAACTAAAATGAAAGATATTCTTGTAGAGTTTTGTATGTTGTAGCTAGTGGCGTCAATCAATCAATCAATCAATCAATGTTTATTTATATAGCCCAATATCACAAATGTTACATTTGTCTCAGTGGACTTTACAGTTTGTACAAAATATCAGTATGACAATACGACACCCTCTGTCCTTAGACCCTCACATCGTACAAGGAAAAACTTCCGGAGAAAACCCACAGTTTAAAGGGGAAAATGGGAGAAACCTCAGGGAGAGCAACAGAGGAGGGATCCCTCTCCCAGGACGGACAGACGTGCAATAGATGCCGTGTGTAAATTGAAAAGATAATACATTTGCAACATAGGTAGTCCAAATGTTTGGAAATGCATGTGTGTATAATAGGAAGATGAATCCACGAGGATATCCATCCAGGACCTATGATCCAGGACCACAGCCACGACTCAAGATCCAGGGCTCGCAATCCAGGACAGAGGAGCGCAGGATCATCCATGACTCCGGATCCCGGCGTATATAGACACCAAAAAGAAAGACATTTGGGGAAGCTGGGTTAATCGGAACATGAGAGTACACAGGTATAGACAGAGAGAAGGAAGAAGTAGATGTCCCCCGACAAACTAAGCCTATATCAGCAAAACTAAGGGGCTGAATCTAATCAGCCCTAACTATAAGCTTTATCAAAAAGGAAGGTCTTAAGCGCACTCTTAAAAACGGATAGGGTGTCTGCCGCCCGAACACAAACTGGAAGCTGATTCCACAAATGTGGAGCTTGATAAGAAAAGGCTCTGTCAAAGTGTAAGTAAATAACTTTTGTACTTTTCAGTATATGCCCTATATGTTTTTTGTATGTGACTAATGGGGATAATTGTTTGAATTGTTCCAGTATTGGGCAGTAGCACTGCAATGTGATCATATCAAGGTATTATCCAAGATCAATAAACCACTAAAAGGTATTGCTCTTGCTTCTAACAGGCTTTGATGGATTTTAAAGTGGTAGACAATATTATAGAATGGACCCTTCCTTTAGCTTTCAGTCAATCCGTTCTGCTTTACCCAAGTCTCGCTCAAGAAAAAGTCTTAAATCCTTCTTTGCATCCTCAGTGAAAATCAATTCATCCATGACAGAAATTGCAACAATAAGAATATAGGTAATATTGATAATAAGGTTTATTTAACGGACAAAGAATGGACTTGCACTACTGGTAGTAAAACGTGATCCTAGTTAGCTACAATGGTCATTTGACAAAACACTGAATTCGCTAAAACCCCTTTTATTTTGTTATGCTCTGTTTTTGCCTGCACTTTTTTCACCTGTTTCTAACAGTGTCTCTTGTTAGTGGTAGGAAAGAGATGTGAGATAAGAGTTCGGGAAGTGTGCTTTTTTTTTTTTTAAAGAAGGAGAGTAGAGGGTAAGGACTGTGCTCTCAGGCATTATTAGCAGGTATAAAAGAAAAAGCATCTGGAGCACAGTCAAGGTGTCAACTGTGGAAAAAACAATTGAGACAAGGGTGGAAAACATCGGTAGGAGTAACTGCAGTAAAGGCTTTACATTTTATGAATTGAATGAACACTGGAAGTGGAAGTAATATTTTTCTAGTTGTCTACCTGTGTTTTTAATTCTTGTTTTTATGCACCACGACACCAAGTCAAATTCCTATACGTGTAAACCTACCTGGTAATAAACCTGTTTCTGATTAAACATCCTGAGCAGTAGAAGAGTGATGCAACTGTAGTAAAGTGTGTGTTGTGCAGAAACAACCAAAACAAAAGTAGACTCATTCAAAATTCAGCAGACCCCTTACATGCTTCCTCAGCACTACAAGCTGACAGTTTCCATAGTGACTGTCCTTTCTGACATGCAGCAGTTTGAATAAACATCGGATTTCCTGCAGCGAGGGGGGGCTGACTTGGCCTTGACCTTTAAAAGCCATTTTCAACGTTTATTTTTCCATTGGTATACTTATGATGCACTCTCCTGAAACTCAGCACGGATAGACTTCTTGTAAACATTTCTATAATTTGAAGAGTGGTGTTATCCTCGTTCTTTCATTTGACATTGTATATAAAAATCACTGTGAGATTGTCCTGCTCACCCAGGAGGAATAATGGAAGGAGATGAAGGATGTTTTGTAAATAAAGCTATAATCACAGGTCATGGAAAAACAAGGGGCAACATACAACTGTCATAAAAGTAACCACACCCCACTGTCACAATCACATTTGAAAACACTGTCATAATCAAAACCCTCATGATGTTCTGAGGCCTGTTTCGGGAGTGTGGAGCCTAACAGGGATTTTTCCAAGTGGCAATGTATGTGTCCGAAAAGTAAAGTCAATACAGAATTTCCTTTTACCTGAATAATCTTTAATAGAGAGGTGCAGTGATGACATATTTTTATTTTCTGAATAGACATAAGTTAGCATTGCAAGGGGTCTCTTGATAAAAAGCCACGAGTATTGCAGAAAATAAGCATTATGTAAAACACAGAACAAAACTTGCAAATCTTTTCACCTTGTGTCATAGACCTTATTTCAGACTTCTAACCAGACCGAGGCAACTGGAAATGGTGAAATAATTTCCGGGTTTTATGACTCTCAAACTACTCTACTGTCACTGCATTACTCTATCCTTCAGTGGGAGAAGTCAGATTTTATAGAAGTCTGAGACAAAGTTCGCTAAAGACAATCATTTATTGAAATTAGCATTTGACATTTTGTCATTTAAAGGATTTGTCAATATTTTACCTGTCAACGAACATCCTAGTCTATCAGTGACATGCGGTGAGGTTCATGGCTGGTGAGGCACTGACTCTTTCAGAGTCAGATTTACAAATATTATATTTTGACCTTAATCGAAATATTCTGTTTTTAACTTATTTTCAAAAGCTTTTTTGGTCTGATGCTTCGATTCATTTTAAACAGACTGTTCAACAAAAGGATACCCAACATCTAAATATTGGATTGTTCTTTCTTAGT